CTCACACCCCTTCCCCTACCGGCTCCGATTCCGGCTCCCCAGGACTCCAGAGACGGAGTCACCATGGTTCCCCCTCCTCTGCAGGCCAGGCCCAGCACTCCCCCTCAGCGGTGGCGAGTGTTGCTGCCGCTCAGACCACCCCGTCCGTTGCGGCAGTTCTTCCGACCACGGCCGCCCCTACCGTCTCTACTACTGTCGTAGGTGCTGCGGTCCAGGTACAACCATCTGGCCATGCAGTTTCATCGACCTACCCCGGTGTTGCTTCCCAGCTTCCCGCAACGGTCGCAGCAATACGGTTCCGCCCTCTTCTTCCTGCCTTCGTCCCCCCACCCCCATAGCAGGGTACCGCCCAGAGTGGGATTCCTCCTCCTACTGGGCGACCCGCTCCGCCCCGTCCACCTCCGACCCCGCGCACCCAGCGAGTGGCCACTTTACAGGCCACCATTGCGCAGGCTCAGGCGGAGATTCTCGCTCTAAGACAGCCTCACCCATCACAGGCTGCCCACCCTTCTTCCTCTACCACCCCTTCGGTCCCCATGATGCAGGCTCGTTTCCCTCGACCTGCTCCTCAGCCTCTTCCCTCCTACCTGGCTATTCCGGGATAGCTGCCTGCGGCTGTTGCCTCCTTGTCTGCTGGTCCATCCGCCAGCGGCCACGGCCCACAACCTTCCCCCACCTCTGCCCCTGCAACGGCCTCGACTTACGCTGCCGCAGTGCACTCGCCTCGATCTCTCTCCCCCCGCCATCAGCACAGTGGACATCCTCCTGTGCGCACCACGGACATTCCCAAGTATGATGGCACATCCCGTGTCTCTCGCTGGTTGAAGATAGCAACGCGCACACTCTCTATGACGACCACCTGTCAAGAGTTGTGGTGTGATGTGCTCGCAACCAAATTGCGAGGTAGCCCTTCCACTGCGTGGGAGGATCATTATACCCAGCGCCTCCGCGTAGGTGAGGTCCCCACTTTGGCCGACTTCGCGGCCTTCCTTCAGGACCGTTTCGGCGCTCGTCATGACGCCACCGACGCCTTAGACCGCGTCACCCAGACCAGATGGTCCGGGTCCTCTGTACCGGCCGACCTGGAGCGTCACATCCGGGTGTTTCAGGACGCTCGCCTTGTTTGTGACGAGACGTTCCTACCGGAGGTCACACTCACCGACCGGTTCCTTGTCAGCCTGCCGACTGACTACCGCCTAGAGCTATGGAGGCGATCATTCTCTTCCGCGGAGCAGGCATACGAGGCTGCGCGTCAGTACGAGAGGATGTGCAGTCACTTCTCCGTCGCCCCATCCTCTTCGCGGCCAGCCGCCACCTCCTTGTCTCGGGGTACCACCCGAGGCCGCTCCTCGTTTGCCGGTCATTTTCGTCGCCCGGCTCGACCTGGAGCGCCATTCGCTCGGCACTACAGTTCTCTCGAGTATGGAGAGGACGCCTCAGCCGAGCTCGATCCTACCATTGGGGACGCCCCCGAGGACATCGAGCTTCGGGACGTCATCTAGTACCACTTGGATGACGACACTGTCCCAATGGCCGCGCGCCTGCAGATGGCCATGTCTGCCATGGGTCGTGCACGCAGTCGGGTTGCACAGGCTGGCGCCCGCACACCCACAGTTCCTCAGATAGACCTCTCGCAGGGTTTTGTCCCTCCTCGCGAAGCTCTATCCCCGAGGAGCGTGCCGCCCTCGAGGCCCGACGAGGTTGCCTTCGTTGCTGCCAGGATGGACACACCTCCTCACGGTGTCCATACCACACCGCCCTCGATCGGTACTACGCTGACATTTCTCGTCAGCGCCGATCTCAGTCCCCTCCCGGCCTCGCCCGGCCAGCCCCACCCAGCTAGCCACGGTGCAGTGTACCCCTAAGGCCTCGCACGTAGCCGGCTTCCCGACCACCGAGTCGCGGTTTGCCCCTTTGGCTACCCCACCAGAGGACCCTCAGGACATGATAGACGCAGTTCTCCCTGCCCCGTCGTCTGTCGAGGTACTGTCTGCCTCCCCGCAGACCGCCACATCTAGCGCTTCTCCCCCGAGACTTCCAACGCGTCGCGCCATTCGCACAACCCGTTGTAGCACTCAGCTGGCGACTCGCGATGACGTTGTGTCATCTCTCCTGGACTTGAGCATTCTGCAAGCTCGTCAGGAGCGACTCACAAGGCACGTCAACGTCCTGCGTCGTCTTCTCGCCGTGCTCTCTGACCCTGATCGCACCCTACCCATCATCCCTATTCGCCTAGGGACATCTACGAAGGTGTACCGCGCTTTATGAGACTCTGGCTCGCAGGGAGATTTYGTTCACCCTCGAGTGGTTGAGGAAGCTCGCCTAGCTACCTCTGGGTCTTGCTCTCCTATCTCCGTTACCCTCGGAGATAACAAGACGCAACGCTTCTTCGATCAGACGGTCCCTGACCTCCACTTCTCCCTCACCCTCCAGCCATCGGATAGTACCCAGACGCCTAGGCGCTACCATTCCTCCGCATACTTCGACATGTTGGAGACTGGGTACGACTTTATACTTGGCACTCCCTGGTCTCGCCGGTTCCGCAGCACAGAGGCCGAATAGGCGACCGAGACACTCGTTCTCAAAACGAAGTGTGGTCAGACCCATCGCGTCTCCTTCATTGGAACCACGGGCGACACCCCACCCGACCTACTTCCCCAGGACCCTCGTCCCTTAGGGTCCCACCCCAACATCGCGTTCACTTCCCCTCGTCAGTTTGCTCACTTCATACGACAGGAGGACGTCACGTTCTACTCAGTGAACGTCATGGATCTTCTTCGCTACGATCCACTCTGTCCCGAGGCTGAGCTCATCTCTCTGGAGCCCGATCCCCCTGACCCTCCTTCCATCTTCGCGGCTCCCATCTCTACATCCACTCGTCAGCCTGCAGATACCCCCTCCACGTCTCAGGCCCCTGCGCCGTCGACTGTCGAGTCCAAACATACGTCTCGTGCTGACGCAGACGATGAGGAACTCACACGGTTCACGGCAGACTTAGAGCCGGCTGTTCGCGACCTGATTCGAGAGTACCGCGACGTCTTTCCCCCGTATTTCTCATACAGTGGGATTCCCCCGATGCGCAGTGTTGAGCATTCTATCCATCTCGTGCCTGACTATCGTGTTCACCATCAGGCACCGTACCGACTCTCGATCCCAGAGGCGACGGAACTCAAGCGTCAGCTTGAGGAGCTCCTTCAACTGGGTTTCATTAAACCCAGTAACTCCCCTTGGGGTGCACCTGTCCTCTTTGCTCGCAAAGCGGACGAAACTCTCCGCCTCTGCATCGACTATCGCGGCCTTAACCGTTACACGGTTAAGAACAGTTATCCCATGCCCCGCGTGGATGAGCTGTTTGACCGTCTGGCAGACAACTGCTTCTTCACGAAGATCGATATTCGTAGCGGTTACCACCAGATCCACGTTGCCACAGAGGATCAGCCGAAAACCGCCTTCCGATCGCGCTTCGGCCACTATGAGTTCACGGTGATGCCATTCGGCCTCACCAATGCACTCGCCACCTTCCAGACGGCGATGAGCGACATCTTCAGGGACATCCTTGAAGAATACGTTCTCGTATACCTGGACGACATCCTGGTCTACAGTCGTACCTTAGAAGACCATCTCAGACACCTCCGGGATGTCCTACAGCGCTTACGCAAGCATGGCTTATATGCCAAGCTCAGTAAGTGCCGCTTTGCCCAGCGCAAAGTGGACTTCCTAGGACACCATGTGTCTGACGAGGGTCTCCACATGGACGACGCGAAGATCACTGCTATTGCAGAGTGGCCCGTCCCCACATCTGCCAAGCAGCTTCGCAGTTTCCTAGGCCTCACTAGCTACTATAGTAATTTTATCCAGGGATACACTGGGTATTCCTACGTCCTTACTTCTACCCTCCTCCGGAAGAACCCGCCGTGGTTTTGGACACCCCTGTGCGAGGACGCCTTTCGCGCCCTCAAGAAGGCGGTGACCTGTGCGCCGGTTCTTTGCCTTCCCGATTTTGATCCTCCCTTTATCGTCACCACCGATGCGTCAGATTTTGGAGTAGGAGCTGTCCTTTCTCAGGTGTTTCCCTCTCCTCCAGATTCACCTTACCCCCATGTTCCTCCTTTCCCCCCCCCTCCTGCTGACACTGCTTCTCGACTGACGCCTACCCTCCCACCACTTCCCCCCACTGACAGTCCTCCTGTTACCTACTCCCCGACCATCGTGGAGGATGGGACTGTCGAGGCTCGTGCTGGGGATTGCCCGATCGCTTTCTACTCCCGTCAGCTACTGCCTGCCGAGATAAACTACACTGCCGATGAACGTGAGGTTCTCGCAATAGTTTATGCTACCCGGCATTGGCGTCATTATCTGCACGGGGCGCCCTTCATGGTGCGCACGGACAACTCAGTTGTCCAGGCTTTCCTCACGAATCCTAAGCTTTCCCCTCGACAGGCACGCTGGTGGCGGGACTTATCCGAGTTCAGTTTCACCACTCAGCCCATTAAGGGTGAATCGAACCGCGTGGTCGATGCCTTGTCCCGCTGTCCTGATCACAATCAGGAACCCATCCAGCTTGCTAGCTTCCTGCCATCTCCATCACCACTGTTGATCAGTCGGTGATCGACGCGTAGCGCACTCAGTACCGCCACTGCCCCGATTATCGCGTCATACACGCGATACTGCGGAGTGGCAAGACCGTTCCTTCCTACTCCCTCGGGGAGAACGGCCTCGTGTACTGGCATGGCAGATCTGGTCAGCTAGAACCACGTATCTGCGTTCCCTCCACCGGACAGCTCCGCGTCCAGGCTGTAGCAAAGTTCCATGACCAGGCAG